TATGTTTCTGTTCTTGTGCCAGTACCATACTGTTCTGATTATGACAGATTTATAGTGTAACTTGAGATCTGGGATTGTGATACTTCCAGCTTTGTTTTTCTTTTTCAAGATTGATTTTGGCTATTTGGGATCTTCTGTGGTTCCATACAAATTTTAGGATTGTTTTTTTCTAGTTCTGTGGAAAATGTCGGTATTTTGATAGGGATTGCATTAAATATGTAGGTGCTTTTGGGTAGTAGGGACATTTTAACAATATTTGCTCTTCTTATCCATCAGTGTTGAGTATCTTTCCATTTGTTTGTCTTCAATTTATCATTGTTTTATAGTTTTTAGAGTATAAGTCTTTCACCTCCATGGTTAGGCTTATTCCTAGGTATTTTATTGTTTTGAGTGCAGCTGTAAATGGGATTTTTTTTTTAAATTTCTCTTTCTGCTGCTTCATTATTAGTGTATGGAATGCAACAGATTTCTGTATGTTGATATTGTATCCTACCACCTTGCTGAATTTATTTATCAGTTCTAGTAGTTTTTGGGTTAAGTCTTTAGGATTTTCTAAATATAGTATCATGCCATCTGAAAATAAAGTTTTACTTCTTCCTCACAATTTAGATGCCTTTTACTCCTTTTTGTTGTCTGATTGCTGAGGCTAGGACTTCCACTACTATGTTGAATAAATGTGGTGAGAGTGGACATCCTTGCCCTGTTCCTAACCCTAGGGAAAAAGCTCTCAGTTTTTCCTCATTGAGTATGATGTCAGCTATGGGTCTTCATATATAGGTTTTATTATGTTGAGGTATGTTCCCTCCAAACCTACTTTGTTGAGGGATTTATCATGAATGGATGTTTGTCGGGTTTGGCCAGCAAACCCTGAGACGGCAAATGAAAAGATTACTCCAGACACCAAAGTAGGAGAAAGGAGAGGGTGAGGGGACCAGATGCTCTAATGGCAAAAGGTCTCGAGCCAAGCTCTGTCTCCACTTTTATTGTGAATTTTATCAATACACCACATGCAAGAGAAAAACAAGAAGGAATGTGTAGCCTTAATGATCAGGACAATAATATATGGGGCAGCACGTGATAGGAGCAGTGCTTGTGACATACGTGCAAGGCAAGGAGTTCATGAAGTTTGTGACAATTACAGGTACCTGTATTTCTTCAAAATTTAAACATTTTTTCCCTAGATGAGAACCTTGAGCCACATTAAGAATCTGGCCGCTTTCAGCCAAGAAAACTCCAAAGGACGCCCAGCATTCCGGGCACTCCTCCTTTGCTTTTCAATTAGTCTCATCCAGGGAGGTATATACAAGTCAGATTTTATCTATCCAGGCACTGTGAATCCCCACAGTACTCTGTCAAATGCTTTTTCTGCATCTACTGAAATGTTCATATGGTTTTTGCCCTTTTTCTTGTTGATGTAATGTATCATGTTGATTGTTTTGTGAATATTAAACCACCCTTGCATCCTGGGAATAAATCCCACTTGATTGTGGTGAATGATTTTTTAATGTATTGTTAGGTTCAGTTTGCTGATATTTTGTTGAGGACTTTTGCATCTATGTTCATCAAAGATACTGGCCTGTTGTTCCCTTTTATTGTGGTGTCTTTTTCTGGTTTTGGTATCAGGATAACAGTGGCCTCATAGGATGAATTTGGAAGCTTTCCCTCCTCTTCTATTTTTTAGAACAGTTTGAGAAGAATAAGTATCAACTCTTTAAATTTGGTAGAATCCACTTGTGAAGCCATCTGGTTCTGGACATTCTGTTGTTGGGAGTTTTTCATTACTGATTCAATTTCATTGCTGGTAATCGGTCTGTTCAAATTTTCTATTTCTTTCCGATTCAGGAGATTATATGCTTCTAGGAATTTATCATTTCTTGTAGGTTGTCCAACTTGTTGGCATATAATTTTTCATAGTATTCTCTTACAATCCTTTGTATTTCTGTGGTGTTGGTTATTTCTCCTCTTCCATTTCTGATTTTGTTTATATGAATTCTCTCTCTCTCTCTCTGATGAGTTTGACTAAAAGTTTATCAATTTTGTTGATCTCTTCAAAGAACCAGCTCCTGGTTTTATTGATCTGCTCTATTATTTTTTTAGTTTCTATTTTGCTTATTTCTGCTCTCATCTTTATTATTTCTTTTCTTCTCCTGGTTTTGGGTTTGTTTGTTCTTCTTTTTCTTGCTCCTTTAGGGGTAAGTTTAGGTTGTTGGAGATTTTTCTTTCTTCTTGAGTTACACCTGTATTGCTATAAACTTCCCTCTTAGACTGCTTTTGCTGCATCCCAAACTTTTGAACTGTTGTGCTTTCATTTCATTTGTTTCCACATATTTTTCTTAAAGATTTATTTATTTATTTTAGGTGGGAGGAGAGGAAGAGAGGGAGAAGGAGAGAGAAACTCTAAGCAGACTCCACGCGCAGCATGGTGCCCAACATGGGGCTCAATCTCATGACCCAGAGATCATGACCTGAGCTGAAACCAAGAGTGGGATGACTAACCAACTGCACCACCCAGGCGCCCCTCTCTCCATGTATCTTTTGATTTCCTCTTTGATTATTTTGGTTGTTCCATTAATTGTTTGGTAGCATGTTTTTTAACTTCCATATTTCTGTGGTCTTACCATATTTTTTTCTTGTGGTTGATATTTAGTTTCATAGCATCGTGGTCAGAAAAGATGCATGGTATGACCTTGACATTTTTGAATTTGTTGAGACTTGTTTTGTGGCCTAATATGTGAACTGTTCTAGAAAATGTTCCATGTACACTTGAAAACAATGTGTATCCTGCTGTTTTAGGATGCAATGTTCTGAATATTTCTGTTAGATCCACCTGGTTCAATGTCCATTCTCAGCTACTGTTTGCTTGCTGATTTTTTGTTTGGATGATCTGTCCATCGATGTAAGTGGAGTGTTGAAGTTCCCTACTATTATTGTATTACTATTGATTACTTCCTTTATGTTTGTTATTAACTGCTTTATGTATCTGGGTGCTCCCTTGTTGGGTGTGTAAATATTTACAATTTGTTATATCTTCTTGTTGAATTGTTCCATTTATGATTATGTACTGTCTTTCTTAGTCTCTTGTTTTAGTTTTTGTTTTCAAGTCTATTTTGTCCAATGTGTTCAAGCTGTATTACAAAGCTGTAATCATCAAGAGAGTATGGTACTGGCACAAAAACAGACACATAGATCCATGGAACAGAATGGAACAGAATAGAGAACCCAGAAATGGACCCTCAACTCTATGGTCAACTAATCTTCAACAAAACAGGAAAGAATATCCAATGGAAAAAAGACAGTCCCTTCAACAAATGGTGTTGGGAAAATTGGACAGCCACATGCAGAAGAATGAAATTAACCCATTTTCTTATACCACATGTAAAAATAAACTCAAAATGCATGAAAGACCTAAATGTGAGACAGGAATCCATCAAAATCCTAGAGGAGAACACAGGCAGCAACTTCTTTGACCTCAGCCAGAACAACTTCTCACTAGACAAATCTCCAAAGGCAAGGGAAACAAAGGCGAAAATGAACTATTGGGACTTCATCAAGATAAAAAAGCTTTTTCACAGCAAAGGAAACAGTCAACAAAACCAAAAGACAACCTACAGAATGGGAGAAGGTATTTGCAAATGTCTTATCAGATAAAGGGTTAGTATCCAAGATCTATAAAGAACTTATCAAACTCAACACCCAAAGAATAAATAATCTAGTCAAGCAATGGGCAGAGGACATGAACAGACATTTCTCCAAAGAAGAACTACAAATGGCCAACAGATATATGAAAAAATGCTCAACATCACTCGGCATCAGGGAAATACAAATCAAAACCACAATGAGATACCACCTCACACCAGTCAGAATAGCTAAAAACAAAACACAAGAAACAAGTGTTGGCGAGGATGTAGGAAGAAAGGAACCCCCCTGCACTACTGGTGGGAATGCAAACTGGTGCAGCCACTCTGGAAAACAGGATGAAGGTTCCTCAAAAAATTAAAAACAGAACTACCATATGATCCACTAATCGCACTACTGGGCATTTACCCAAAGAATATGAAAACACTAATTTGAAAGGATATATGCATCCCTATGTTTATTGCAGCATTATTTACAATAGCCAAATTATGGAAGGAGCCCAAGTGTCCACTGAAAGATGGATAAAGAAGTGGTATATACATACACAAGAATATTATTTAGCTATAAAAAAGAATGAAATCTTGGGTGCCCAAGTGGCTCAGTTGGTTAAGCGACTGCCTTCGGCTCAGGTCATGATCCAGGAGTCCCTGGATCGAGTCCCGCATTGGGCTCCCTGCTCGGCGGAGAGTCTGCTTCTCCCTCTGACCCTCCCCCATCTCATGTGCTCTCTCTCTCTCATTCTCTCTGTCTCAAATAAATAAATAAATAAATAATCTTAAAAAAAAAAAAAAGAATGAAATCTTGTTATTTCCAACAACATGCCTGGATCTAGACAGTGTAATGCTAAGTGAAGTAAGTTAGTCAGAGAAAGACAAATAACCATTGATTTTACTCCTATGTGGAATTTAAGAAACAAACAAATAAAGAAAAAATAGACAAACCAAGAAAAAAAAAGACTCTTAAATAGAGTATAAACATGGTTATCAGAGGGGAGGTGGATGGGGGGATGGGTGAAATAGATGAAGAGAATTAAGAGTACACTTATCTTGATTAGCACTAATTTATAGAATTGTTGAATCATTATTTTGTACACCTGAAAGTAATAAAACACTGTATGTTAACTATACTGGAATTAAAATACAAAAAAGAAACACAGATCAAGAAAATACTATTTCATTAGAGATAGGGAAGAACAAATATTGGAAGGGGTTTTTAGACAAGAATACATTTCTATTACTGAAATGGTTTAGTCATATTCTCACCCAGGGAAAGAACCTAATGGGCTTGATACTTTAATCAATATAATTTTTAAATAAAATCTAAACACATGAGCTGCAAAGGTAATCTCTGTTATATAGACCAACCTTATCTGGGTTTGGCAAAATTTCAGGATTTTCAGCCTCAGGCCCTAGAAGACAACAATATGTTTTACTCCAGGTTTATTAAAGCACTAAAAACATACCTTCTCATTTAGCATTTCTTGATCAAAATAACTTGAAATGGTTCTCTCAGGCATTCATGTGATATATAAAATATTTTATAAATATTATACCTATTTATTGATATAAAAGTATCATTACATAATAAATTTACCAAAAAAATCTTCCATTTCTTAAAAAAATACTTTACATGAAGATTGGTAAAATTATAATTATTTAGAATTAGTTTAGCTAAAAGCCTCTCTCTATTTTGGCTGGGTTATTCTAAGTATAGGTTAATTATAGGAGGAAAAAATCACACCTATTTTCTCAGGGTCATTATCTCCTCCATTATAGGTAATAGACTATAAATTAAAATCATGCTGTCAAGTTAGGCATGAAAAGTAACAACCCATGTAGGGGCCAAAAGGAATCAGGAGGTTGTCCTAAGTGACTGCCACTTTATTATCCCCTCCTCATCCTGCTCCCTCTGCAATTTGTACCAAGAGAAGTTGAAGGATGATCAGGAAAAAAGACAGTTCTCCTATACCACTCCTCTTGCCTCCTACCTTCACCATTAAGGCCCAGGCACTCTGACATACTTAGCTACGAATTTAGGGCTCACTGGTGTTTCAAGCATATGTTTGAGTCATTCTTTTGGTTTCCTTTGATTAGGCCATATCTAGAGCTACAGCATAAGTATTATTTGCTGAAACTTAGCATGCATCCTCACAAGCAAGACAGGTTTTTCAGGGGAAAAAAATAAGCATAAATATGCTTGCTGAGCTTTATATTGTACAAAAATCTTTTTACTGTTTTTGTTTTGCTTCACCTTTGCCATTTGATGATGTTAAGCTATGAAAATCAGCTAGGAGGGCTAACATCATGGTATTGCACACCCTCACAGGATGATGAGCAAAACATTAAGAATACATAACTTTTTAAAAATTTTTTAAGTTTTTTAAAAGATTTTATTTATTTATTTGACAGATAGAAACACAGAAAGAAAGGGAATACAAGCAGGAGGAGTGGGAGAGGGAGAAGGCCTCCCACAGAGCAGGGAGCCCAATGTGGGGCTTGATCCCAGGACCCTGGATCGTGACCTGAGCCGAAGGCAGATGCTTAACAACTGAGCCACCCAGGTGCCGCTGGAATAAATAACTTCTTATCCTTGCATTAGAATCCTTTATGCCAAGCAATGATGATAATATGTTCTACTATGTATATCTTGTTATTTAAAGTTTTATCTCTGGTTGCCTCATTCTCTCAAATAAATAAATCTTAAAAAAATTTTAGTACAAATGAAAGAAACACTGTAATAGATACATCTTCAATTATCTTTTTTTTTAACTGTCAGATCCTTGGGGGGGTTAGTTTAAAAAAAGAGAAGACGTCATCCTCCTTTCTCCTTCTCTGAATTTGCAAAGAAAATCCTCAAAGCCATCTCTTTCTATATTTTTAATCACCTCATAATCAAAATGATCTTTTATGCCAATAGTTGGTATTTTTAAAATTTGATAAGTTGGTATTTATTATGCTAATTTGACTACTATATAAAAATAAACATATTTAAGGAATTCTCATTTTCTAACTACAAAATTTACTTAAAATAGCTTTTACAAATTAAAAAAATTTGGGGGGCTGTGCCTGAGTGGCTCAATTGGTTAAGCATCTGCCTTTGGCTCAGGTCATGATCCCAGAGTCCTGGGATTGAGCCTTGGGTCAGGCTTCCTGCTCAGTGGGGAGCCTGCTCCTCCTTCTGCCCGCTGCTCTCCCTGCTTGTGCACACTCTTTCTCTCTCTCTCTCTCTCTCTATCACTCCTGCTTTATCTCAAATAAAAAAAATCTTAAAAAAATTTTTTTTGAGTTTTTGTCTATCCTTTAATAAATTATTAAAAGATTTTGTACGTTTTCTACTTAACACCTGAAAGAGACAACATGTAGTAGTAGTAGTATGTATAAAAAATAATTCTAGGGGCGCCTGGGTGGCTCAGTCCGTTAAGCGTCTGCTTTCTGCTCAGGTCACGATCATGGGGTCCTGGGATCGAACCCCACCGTCAGGCTCCCTGCTCAGCCGGGAGTCTGCTCCTGACCTCTCCCTTTGCCCCTCCCCCACTGCTTGTGCTCTTTCTCTCTCTCAAAATAAATACATACATACATATATACATAAAATTCTGAAGTACCAAATGAGAAGAAAATGCTCAGGAGAGCTGAATTTTAGCTTATATACAATATACAACAATTACTAAGATAATTTGTTTATTTTGACCATTCTATAATTTGGTTAAAATTACTCCTTGAATTGGGAGGAAGAAGATAGGACTGTATTAAAACAGAGTTAGCTAAACTAGTGAACAATTTAACAGTTTCCTTATATGTGATTTAACCTAAAATCTAGGATGAAAATAAAATGAACTTTTGTTCTGAACACTCTGAAAGGAATGAAGGGAAGAGGGAGTTGCAATGAAGTATCAGAAGGAAAGGGGACTACCAATTCTATGGGTGTAGTCACATCAGCTTTATGGCAGCAAGAAACACCACAAAGTTATAAAGGAACAGCCAGTTAAAGACCTCTGACTTAGAAGTTCAATACGGTGGTGGTAAAAGTACAGAGACGCCAAAAGCATCATATGGCATTAATGGCTCCCAAAATGCCAAATGTCCTGCATTTCCCACACTTCTAACCTCCTACCCATCTGGTCTTTTGAGAGCCATTAGTGCAAATAAATCCATATCTAACTAAGCCTTCTATTTTTAGGCAAAAACAAATTTACTTTATATGACTCTACCCATAAAAACATACCTTGAATGCTTTGGTGGTTCACTGAAAGTTCGGCCTGGGAAAATGACCTAGTGATCATTGGAAAACTTTTTTTATTCTTATAAAATAAATCAATTATTTAATAAATAAATATAAATTTTAAAATGAAAACAAAAACACTACTTCTCAAATATAATTTAAGGGTTATTTTCATTTAAAGGAATTTCAAAGTTGCATAATTTTTTTTGCTCCATCCTTCCAATAACTTTTACAATTAGTACAAATTTGTTAACATTTACATTTCAAGCGATTGCAAAAATGAAAGAAAAAGCTGAAAAGTTAACGGATGAAATTCAGGAGTGTAAACAAGATAACCTTAAGTTTAGGTGTGAAAGTCACTTTGGGATGACTGTGTATCAAATAAGGTAGTGGGGGAGAAGAAACTGGTTCTGAATTATGTGTCTTGGTTATCTAAATCCTTAAATACATTGAAAGTTTGTCATTATAGTTTTAGATGTAAGTGCAAGTCACTAATGAGAAAATTCTCAGGTATTATTTATCATTCTTGTATTTCACAATAGGCAAAGAACATATATGAAATATTAATGGAAAGAGGTTGAAAGCAAAATAAGGTCATGCCTAGTCTGCAATTTTTATCATCTGCCTTGGGATATTTAAAAGTTGATTGAAGATAAGCAGTCAGTTAACTACTTTTTTCCTCAATCCAATTTACTATATGCAAACGCAATCAAGATATCTCCCTTAAAAAAAAAAAAAGCCTCGTTTTAGCTGTTTTAAGAGCAGTTTTTATATACCAGGTATAGCTACTTGAAGCCTAAGCAAGAATAATAAATTGAACACTCTCTCCTGTCTAAAAACAGAAGTGATTGTGCTCGCTTCGGCAGCACATATACTAACACTGGAACGATGCAGAGAAGATTAGCATGGCCCCTGTGCAAGGATGACACGCAAATTCGTGAAGCGTTCCATATCTTTCTGATATGAGAAATTTGAGAAACAAGACAGAGGATCATAGGGGAAGGGAGGGAAAAATGAAACAAGACAAAACCAGAGAGGGAGACAAACCATAAGAGACTCTTAATCTCAG